TGTAGAAACTGGTTGTACCATAGTCTAAGCAACACAAGTTATTGTTCATGATTATATTGTTTTATTTGGCTAAATGAGGTTTTAAATTATAAAATAACAAGAAACAAATTGTAAACAAAACAGAACCTCTACAGTTCAACATACAGAACTAACAATAAAATTGGCTTCAGCTGTTCCATAAGAAGTATGGTTTTATCTATGGTTGTACTCTGTCCACAGTCATCAACACTTTACACTGTCGAAATCTAATATTGGGGATTCGGAATTTGGATTATTTGGATTGGGCTGATCTGTCTTATACATTGCACTCTAATCCTAATTAAAATCCAGTTACCTAGTATGATTGTGTGAGGTTAAGGAAATATGAAATTGTATTTGTTTAACCCTTGAAATGTCGTATTACTGTTCTTAAAACTAGACAATATGTTATTAGACGACGCACCAATTTTAATTTATTTTGTAAAATCATGAAACTACAAACAGGTTGCTATTTACGGTTTCATTAAAAGCCCTTTTTCATTTCGCAGAGTACAAACTTCTTGTTGTGTCGGCCCTGGTGCCCCGTATGCGTTTGTTTTGGCGGGGACAGGGGTGTCTTTTGCCGCCAAATACTGGAAGCTGATCAAACAGCGATAACACGTAATTAGCGCATGAGAGCGCATAATCAATCTGGCAGAGACCGAGATAGCTCACGGCCTATTAATGCTGTTGACTCTAGCGATTAAAGAACCAATGTCAACACGGCTCCCATGTCACGTCATACGGCCGGTGCTGGTGCTGGTGTGTACACCACTTCGCCTACTTTACATGGAACGGAATTCATAAAAGAGGACATTATAAGAAGTATTAACCTATGTGGGTTTTTCGAAAACTGTAATTAATATCATTTGAGGGAAGTTGTTTCGTTATTGGAATATTCGTGGTAAAAATAAAAAATACAATAAAATAAATAAATAAAAAATAAAAAAAATATAAACACCATTCGTAATGTGTAACAAAACGAAGTTGTTGTAAAACCCAACTTGCATAAACACACCCCGTTTTCCGATCACACCTGCAATTTAAATCATTGCATTAAGTGTTTGTTGTCTTTATTGTTTATATTTTATTCCACCCCTCCTCCACCACCGCCAGCTGACGTCTATCCCAGCTGACCCTACATGGTGACGTCACGGCACCAGTCCTATCACGACTCTATGATTGTGTCGTAAAAGAGGGGCCATAAAAATTCCATATATCGAAGAAACAATCACCTCCCCGACAAATTTCCTGGCGCATAACACCTTACCCCTGCGTGGAATGGGTTTTTGTAAATGGGAACTGGGATGGAAAAATAAGGGTATTCATGGGACAGCGTGATCCCTCGTGCAATAACTGAGATTCTCCGTCTCATGTAAATGGCTGTATACAACCTGCATCTGATTTGTATGAGGCAGGAGTCGTTGTATCAGCGAGTTGACGACTTTACACTTATATATGGTGTCGTATTTATAAAATTATGCTATGACATCTGCGAATATCGTTACGTATTCCACATTTGATTAGAAAACAAGACTTACTTGACTGTGGTAGAATCAGGACAAAAAACTATGTTATGCGCTAAGTTCATTAATTTAGGAATTATAATTATTTGAGTCAACATTCTAGCATTAAAAAAAGACAACTGAAGTTTCGTGTTTAAACAAGTAAAGAAAGATTAATCGAACACGAATATGAAACTAAGTGAAATCAGGGTTTAGAAGGAATCCGACAATTCACTCGACATCCATTCTGATTTCGGCTTCTCAAAGTAGCCGATTTAAATGCGATTTCGGCGATCGAGCCCCAAAGCGGTTGTATTTTAAGGAATTTAAGGGCCGTGGATTAGGCTAGGTAGTCGTAAGAGGCGCAGTAAAATTAAGGCGGAATTGAAAAAGGAAGTAATATAACAGGTGCTTAAAGGTTTGATAGGATCAATGGGGGTTACAATATCCGGCGCCGAGACGCCTTTAGCATACGGAGCGTGCGAAGCGTCGCGTCGGGCGTCTGCTGAGTAAATACTACGGAACAAGTTTTATATCTAGACGCATAGTGTTATATTTTACTAGCTCACCAAATCAATAAAATAATTGCCATTTGTGAAAAAATAATAATTCTTTTGTCGAATCGTTAAAAAAATATTTAATACATTTTAAACAGATTTTAACATCGGACAGAATTTAACGCTGATGTTTAAAAACGGACAAAAAACGACAGTCTTGTGTGTACAGCTTGTCTAATCCATTAGTGAGCGGGTGTATACCTACCTTGTGGTGATGTAGTAACGTCGCTCGTCGTCAGTCGCAGGAAGTACTGTAGTACACGGCCCTCCACAATCGCGTAACCCTTACAAGCTTTATGGGCCGTTGAGGAGAATTTTACTGGCGATTTATACGAGATTTTTGGTCGGTCTCTGGAGGCCGGGAGTTTGCATAATGTGATGGTTCCGAGCCTTGTCATCCTCCCCGAGAGAGCGAGAGAGAGGTGTGTCTTATAAACACGCAAAACTTGCACACACACACACACATGGACAGTGTACTCTACATGACACTGTCCATTCCCCGACGGTTGCACAACATTCAACGAATTAATATTCACAACATACATTACCAAGACTGTTGTTTCCAAATTTTACCAAATGATTAATGTACGTGAGCCCAATATTTTGTACGTAGATTTTTAAAATGCACATTTTTTAATGTTAATTTGTTTATCTGTGGCATTTTTATACTTGAAATAGATTATGCCTGTTGAATAACAAATAACTGCAACTTGCAAAAATGTTATAGGCGTAAGTAAGATAAGAGAAATCAACACTTGGTTGAATACAAAGTGTGCGAAAGTTGGATTTGTCCGAGCAACATGATCCCAGTCGCTACATTGACGGACGGGTTCACCGTCAACCGTCAAGTGAGAGCCGGTCGCCGGTCATATAATGGCGCTGAGGAAGCGGTGTCAAACGTGACGCCCTCTAATCGTTATCGTGCGTGTGCGTGTGCGTGTGCGTGCGTGACGGCCGAGCGACTCTGGTAATTATGAGCTCGCGGGGGCGGCGCCACGCCCAACGCCCGCCATTACAACAATCACGCCAATTTCACTTTTTGATCCCTCTATATTTCTCAAGATTTCAAGGGATAATTGTCGCGCCTGTCTATCATAGCATTCTATATTCCGAGTATGAGAAGTATTGGATTAAGTTGTTGGTCTGTAACCAGCTAAGATGATACGTTCATTGTTTACTATACAGGTTATTGAATACATAAATATGTTTGTGGAAAATGTTGAGAACCCCTTTCTATATTATGGTTTGGTATGATGGTAGTTGTGCTAAAAACAGTCGTTGAATGCTTTTGCTTGGTCATGTATGGTTATTGGTTTATTGCATCCTACACAGATAAGCCCACTATGGCAGGGAGGGTGTAGGTCCCTCTGTACGATGTTGAGACGTTTGACAAGTGATTCCCCAGACACGTGTGTCTGTCATCCAGTAATGAACGCACATTACACATTTCAAACAGCACTTTTCAATCCAAGATTTTTAAAAATCTCCATTTATATCACACTATTTGCATGTACATGATATATTACACAGTAGTTATCGATAAATTTAATTGAAAAAAGTTATCAAACGGGTGACAAAAAGTATGCAAACATAACGCAATGGTTTTTGGTCATCTCACGAAGTCTATAAATGTATAAATCTATGTAACCAGATATAGTCTACTTGGCGACAAACCGTTATCCAAGTATCGTTAAGCAGAAGTAGCAAGCCGTGTAGTGTATCTCCAACGCCCACGGGTTCGAGTCCTGCTACAGAGCTAAGCTATTCTCTTATCGCACATAGCTCAGATATACTGCGGCATACATTCAACTCTTTAAGAGTGAATTATTTGTGCTAACATTTATGTTTGACATAAAATTAATTCTACTATTCACCTTTTCTGCTGGAAATTATTTTACTTATTTATTCACAATGGATAATAGATCACACCCTTCCTTATATTTAAAATGTTTATCGAACATTTTATAGTGTCATAAATAATGTTTACAAAATAAATTAAATTCTTCGAAAACGTAAAATATAAAAATAAATACCCACATTACATTTATATTTGAACGAATTACTGATTTATATTTAGGTTTAACCATTATGAACTAATAACGGATTTCGTTATTCTATCATAGTAACATTTTTTGCGTGATTTTATTTGCGATATACACATATTGCAACAGTAATTCACAATCTCCACCATACGCGCAATAAAGTATAATGTTTAAAGAAGTGTTTCCGCGCATTCAAAGTGGTCCCTGAGCCGGCATTTCCCTATTTGTGCGGGTCTTGGAGAGGCCCCGAGAGATGAGCATCCAATATGCAGAGGAATTCAATCTTGGCAGGACTTGCAGCGGTGCGATGGATCTTTATATACATGTGCAATAAACACAAGAAAATCCTATAAGACCCGGGGGACTCGTGCTCCGGTAATCTTACGGCTCGTCCCCCTCTCTACAGGGGGGGGGGGGTGGTAGGGGGTACCGTCAAATAGGCTATTCGCGGAAAATAATAACTTGCCGGCAAACACATGTTGCTCGACTTTATATCCTCGGAGAGAAGGGTTGCGCTGAGACAATATACAACGAGTTTTCACTTCTCATAAACTTATATCTCTTATTTTTGTGTTGAATTGTTCGTACCTGTGATATTAAAATTCACATATGATTCTGTTGGCTGGAAGTAATATGAATTGAACTGGTGTTCACTTGAGGTGTAATCAACAACAAAATTTATATTTCATAAGCACAATTTATTACAACTCTAATGATTAGTACATACATTCCTTTTATTTGTGTGTTAATAAAAAAAATTACACATTTGTATCTTTAAGCATTGATTTATCGCATTTTACATTTTAAACATCAATACAATCATTGTTGTTGCAATCATTGTTGATTTGCAGTTTTGTAATTTTTGTTTGGTTTTTCAGCATCCCTACCCCTCGGAAGACCAAAAGAAACAGTTAGCACAAGACACCGGGCTGACGATACTACAAGTAAACAATTGGTGAGTCGTAGTGTAGTGTAGTGTAGCGCGTGTGATGTAGAGATGTAGAGATGTAGAGCTGTGGGGCACCATTACACAGGAATGCCTCAGTGACGGCCCGCGTGACTGGCGTCTATATATACTGCCGCTAATCATGATTGGTGAATATCCGATGTCTTGATAGGCGGCGCCCTTTGTAGGCAGAACCTTTGTGGTAACTGATTATCATATCAAATCTCCGATACAGCACTGTAATCCCTAATGAGAGACATAATATATGTGGCCCCCAGGTCTGAGTTACAGCTGCTAAATCAATCTAGTTCCAGGAAGAAAACTACAATTTATGAAACAAAACACTAACATTTCATTCGCCTAAACATACAATATGTACCGCAGTCGCCTATAATGTTCAAGATCTGCACCTTTAATGTTACTACTTTAAAAAAATCTAAATATGTTTAGTAACTAAATATAGTTAAATAAGTTGGGGTTTTATTATATACAATACCTTCCGACACAAAAAATATGTAAATTTGGTTGTGTTTTTCAACATAAGAACAAATAAAGGAGTAGTATCAAAGAAAGTATTCAAAAGAGTATAACACAATCCGTGTTTCAATCCTTTCTAGTCTGTCGCTTTCATAAAGTTGTAAACGAGTGAAATTGGCAAAGTTTAGGGAACATTAAGCAAATGCAAGGGAGAAACTCATTAGAATGGGTAAAATGAATTCAATAAGTCAAAGAAGGCAGGAATGGTATCAAATAACACGATTCGTGCCTGTTGTGGCAGAGGGAGGGTGAAATGTAATTAGTACTAGGGGCTGATCAGTAAATTACACAGATTAATCACAATCCGTTGGCCGCCATTGTTGTTGTAGTTCGGAGCTTCTGCGGCGGCGGCGCCTTCGTCACCTGTGTTCTGTCAAATGCGAAAAGCTATTAAATAATTAAAATAACATTGTAAATCGTTTGAAGTCTGTCTTTAGTTAGTGTCTCTTGTAGCCTCATCAGTTAAAATGGGAATGCGTAATAATGTGACAAATACAACGTAATTTATTGGTGGTCCACTTAAATGTTTCAAACTATTTGAACTGAAATGTTAATTAATATTAATTGTAATTCATTAAATGTTGCTGGTAGGCTGCTAATTGATACGCAAAAAAATACAATTACAATTTAAGTAAATTATTTCGTAAAAAAAAAAAACGATTGTAGAGCACGGAGGATTTTAGAGCGTAAGGTAAACGCACCAGTAGCTGACAGTATAAGAAACTATACGCACTTAATAATCCGTGGTTTTGAATAAATAGGAACTAAAGAGATATTACGGATTTTATGGGATTCTAAATTTAGTGTAGTTTTCAAATTTGTCACACAAAAAGGGTTTTTAAAATATATTTTATAACATTTTTTAACTTAATTCAACCTTTGTACGTGTTCCAGTGGCTGACAGTGAAAAAAGTGCTTGTACCAGTAGCTGACAGTCAGTTGTCCCAGTAGCTGACACTGGAACTATAAATACACTAGCTGCTAAACCTAAGGGTTTTATAATTTATAAGACGAATAAAATCTAACCTAATAATTAAGTTATAAATAAAATCATGTAAAACGTTATTAAGAAAATTTATTTTACATATTTTAAAATAAAAATATTTACATTAAAAAATATATATATATTTTATATATATTTAAAAAATATATAAATTTTTTAAATATATTTGGCTTATTAATTAAAAAATTAAAATCATTTTATAAAAATGTGAGATTACATAAATTATAAAAAGCATGCAAATTTTGATGGGTAAAATATTGTGCAAGTAGCAAATATCCCCTGTCAGCTATTGGAACTTGTATGGCTTTTGTGTACCAAAGCCTGACATTGATATAATTTTAAATCCAAAACCCCTAAAACCCCAATTTTATCATGAAATTGTCAACAAAGATATAATTGATAAAAATAATGAGCCTAACCATTAATAATATTTAAGAAATTTTGCGAAATGACAAAAAACCAAACTTACCTTCTTAACAGTTTCATTAAGGGAATCGACTAAATGTGATGTGTACAGACAGGGTTGCTTTCAAACCACCACCATTCAGCGAGTATGTGCTAAATTTCACAGATTTTTTTGTAATCAAATCAGGAATAAACATATGTTCTTCTAACAATGCAATCATGTGTAAATATTTTTAAGAGACCACATTATAATGTAAAGAAACTCAAACTGTCAGCTTCTGGAGCACTGTCAGCTACTGGTGCATTTACCTTATAGGAAGTGATAGAGACAATAGACAACGCGTATCAATCACTTAACAAGTAAAATGCGTGAAGCGAAGTATTGTACACATGTTTATTGCGACTTGTGTATTGCCGTTGCGTGTCTGTGACCGCACAGCGTGTTTTGTGAAGATTGATCAGGTCTTGGTGTGTTGTGTAGGAGCCCGAGCCTGAGTGTTGTGACTCACTGTATTGTATCCAGCTCAGAGCGCACTGAGGGGTTCTTGCCAAGACTGAGATGTCTTGGTGTGTTGTGTAGGAGCCTGAGCCCGAGTTTTGTGACTCACTGTATTGTATCCAGCTCAGAGCGCACTGAGGGGTTCTTGCCAAGACTGAGATGTCTTGGTGTGTTGTGTAGGAGCCCGAGCCCGAGTTTTGTGACTCACTGTATTATAGCCAGCTCTGAGCTCACTGAGGGCATGAGGGGTTCTTGCCAAGACTGAGATGTCTTGGTGTGTTGTGTAGGAGCCCGAGCCCGAGTTTTGTGACTCACTGTATTATAGCCAGCTCAGAGCTCACTGAGGGCATGAGGGGTTCTTGCCAAGACTGAGATGTCTTGGTGTGTTGTGTAGGAGCCCGAGCCCGAGTTTTGTGACTCACTGTATTGTAGCCAGCTCTGAGCGCACTGAGGGGTTCTTGCCAAGACTGAGATGTCTTGGTGTGTTGTGTAGGAGCCCGAGCCCGAGTTTTGTGACTCACTGTATTATAGCCAGCTCAGAGCTCACTGAGGGCATGAGGGGTTCTTGCCAAGACTGAGATGTCTTGGTGTGTTGTGTAGGAGCCCGAGCCCGAGTTTTGTGACTCACTGTATTGTAGCCAGCTCAGAGCGCACTGAGGGCATGAGGGGTTTTTGCCAAGACTGAGATGTCTTGGTGTGTTGTGTAGGAGCCCGAGCCCGAGTTTTGTGACTCACTGTATTGTAGCCAGCTCAGAGCTCACTGAGGGCATGAGGGGTTTTTGCCAAGACTGAGATGTCTTGGAGTTTTGTGTAGGAGCCCGAGCCCGAGTTTTGTGACTCACTGTATTGTAGCCAGCTCAGAGCGCACTGAGGGGTTCTTGCCAAGACTGAGATGTCTTGGTGTTTTGTGTGGGAGCCTGAGTTTTTGTGATGCCACAATGGTTGGCCGCAGCCACGCGTCAGATAATTTACCGTCGTCTGACACCGGCTCAGCCCTGTAAATCAACCGATCCTATACGACTGCGACGATCCATTCAACAACAAACTACCGACACTTGTGATCAATAATACCTCATGTTGCTCAGCTCATACACAATTGTTAGACCCAATAAAAATTAATATAATGTTCATGGAAGCGGATGTACTTAACCAACTACGGTTCATTAGTGCATCGAAAACTAATTTACAAGAAATATAAAAAATGTCAAATAAACAATTTTTACATTTGCATATTGTTGTGCGATACATACATCAATCCTGAGTAACACTTGTGGATGAGACAAAGTCCCATATACATACACTTTGCCGGTGCCGAGTGAGGGGCTAGAAGAGGTTTACGAGAGGAAAGAAGCTGCAACACGCATTCCGCGTTATTCAATTTGGAGACACCGCGACGGATCTGTTAAAGCTACGTTTTGTCGACTTGACGGCAGTCAAACTCGCTTGATGACCCCATTGTCTTTTACGACGCTGCTACCCTAGTTGAATCCGACGACGGGGCGGTGGGGGGCCATAACCCCCCTCAACTCTCACTCTACACTCTCCATTCAACCTCTCGATAGTTGTGCTTATCGTTTGTTTTGTTGGATAATTGAGGTACCATACAAACCTGTTGGTGTGATCTCAGCTCTGCTCCCACTTTATAGCTGCTTCGACTCTTGCTGGTCCACTTACGTGGATTTACTACTGTGATATGCCTAGAAACGACATTCCCATTGACAGGTTTAGAACTTTTACTAGAGCAATCTCTTCTTTTACCGAAATATTTGTAAAAGAAAAAAAATGATTAAAATTGTACGAAAGTGTTTACCCTATTTCCTCTGTTTCACAAACTACTTTTGAAGTGTTTTGTTGTAATAATCATTTTATATCGAAGAATTAACTGATTTTGGGATTGACATGTTTTAATATGCAGTTACGTTATAATTGATTGTGCCGTCATGTTTCGCCGCGTTTGTAATTTACATTACAAGAGATATGTACGAATTAACATATTCATCGTAAAGTTCAAAACACGCACTTCGGTTTGTGTAACTCACTCTACTATGCAACATCATTAAATTAGCAAATGCAATTTCGTTACTTAAAATAAAGCAATTAAGGGAGAAGGGTTTGCCCCGTCAGCGAATATCCTACTAAACAATTAGGGAATGTTTCATTTAGAGATAAATAAATCTTGCATCACTTAAAATGCGCTACAAGCTTCACCTCTCTACCTTTTACAGGGTTGAATTCCCGACTTAATTATTAACGGGCGTGGCAGCCGCTGGTAAAATACCCCTTGGTACTAGTGGGAGGGGGTAGGTTGGGGGGTGGTACCGGGAGGGGGGGCAATCTTCTCTAATTAGATACGCGTCTAGCTGCAGCTAATTGGCGAGAGAATCAGCATTTATTATTTATGCAGGACGCGTGTTAGACCCCCCCTCCCCCTCCACCTACAGTTTGCGAACACTTCTTATTTATATCAATGGAATTGCCTTCACCATTCAAACTCTAGTTAATGCGTGGCTCAATGAATTCGCAAACTGGGTCAAAGTTATACTGAACATTAGTACCTCGTTGTGT